TGGGAGAATATCTAAATGCTCTCAAGGTAGGAAAATACTTCTTAAATGGAACACAAAAAACCCTAGCCATAAAGGAAAATACTGAAAAACTAGACACATTAAAATTTAAAACTTCTGTTCATCAATGGATACTATAAAGAGATTTGGGAAGGGTTTGCAACCAAAAAATTCAAAAGTGGTTCATAGCCAGAGTACATAAAAAATTCCTACAAATCTATAAGAAAAGAATAAACAACCCAATAAAAATGTGCAAAAGACTTGTATAGGCACTTCACAAAAGATAACCAAATAGATAATAAACATATGAAAAGAAGTACAACTGCATTAGTCTTCTGAGAAATGCCAGTTAAAATCACAATGTGATATTACTACAAACCCACCCACCAGAATGGCTATAATTTAACGAGTGATAATAACAAGTATTATCAAGGATGTAGAACAGCTAGAATTCTCATACATTGCCAGTGGGAATATAAATTGGTTCAATCACTGAGAAAAGTTGTCATTATCCATAAATTTGAAAATATGCATTCCCTACGACCCAGAAATTCCAATCCTAGGTATATACCCAACAGAAATTCAAGTACACATAACCAAAAGACATGTATAATAATATTCATAGTACTGTTATTTATAATAACCCCAAACAATCCAAATATTCATTATCAGTAGAATGAATAAACTGTGGTATATTCAAACAAGGGAATAATATACAAAAATACAAATAAAAAACTACAGCTGCATGTAACATCATGGATATCAAAAAACATAACATCGAGCAAAAAAAGAAAGCTCCCCCCCAAAATACATACTATGTGATTTCATTTATATCAAGTTCAAAATGGGCAAAACTAATCATGTTAGACATCAGGACAGTCATTCACTTTGGAGGAGGATGGTATAGTGATATGGTGGGGGTTTTGAGATGCTATTTCTATTTCTTGACCTGAGTTCTGGTAACATTACTGTATTCATTTTACAGTAATTCATCCAGTTGTACAATTATGATTTGTGACCTCTTCTGTATGTATGTTACACTTGAATAGAAAAGTGGGGGGAAAAGAAATGAAGAGCTAAGTGATGGGTATTTATAGACTAGTCAGATAAAACTGGTCCTCTATGAGGGTCACCCTGCAGGCAACGCAAGTGGTTTCTCTTGGTCATGTTCTTGGGGATTAAAGGGCTTCAGAAGTTCTCTAGTATAAAGAGATCTTCTCTATAACGTAATCACAGATAAACTACAAGTTATTTTTCACAAGATCTAAGAGAGAAAGAAAGATGAGACCTACATGCAAATAAAACAAAACATCAAATAATACATTACAAAAAACTCTTTGCACCATCATAGAGGTAATGTGGTTAGGGCTTTTCTCCATTTTACTATCTAATGATTCTAGAAACCAGTGAGACATTGCCAGTGGAACTATCTACTCACCTAAGCACAGTTAACAATTCACAGGCTTAGCAAGGCCTGAGGAAAACAGGCCTGTTACAAATGTCTTTGTTTTACATGAACATCTCTAAAGGCCCCAAATAATAATTCAAGCCAACAAGTGTTTAAGTACCCTAACTATAATCAGCACTGTGTACCACGTATTGTGGAAAAAGACAAAAAGGAAGGCAGATTTCCAAGGAGCTCTAATATGAAGACACAAGTTTTATTAAACACAATAACAGCAATAACTGGAGAATGATTCCAAGACAGGATATGGTGGGTGGGTTGCAGGAGTAGAATCGGTAAGAGAGAAAATGGGATAGGTATAATGCAGCCAGTTGATCAAAAGCCTTGAATGTCACACTGAAAAAAATCTAGATTTAAACTTATAGAAAATGATCTTATCTGGATCCCACTCCCCTAAAAAATTCTTGGATTTAGCGATTCCCAGTCATTTTCTTGATCAACAGGCCTTAATAATTAACATCAAATCTAGATATACTAATGTCCTATCTAGTTAAACCAGAGATGTTTTGTGCAAAGTTAACGTTGACTTCTATGACATCACCTCAAATAATTAGAGACATATTCCAAATATTGCTAACAGTCCCCAATAAACCCTTAAAAGTCTACATAAACATATTTTTCTAAACACTTAAACCTTAGAGTTTCAGTTACAGTATCTCTTGGGGAAATCATCTGAATGAGACACTACCTTTATTTGCCTCCCCCACAAAATAATCTTTCAAGCATTAAAAGATATCTAATACTTAATATAGTGGCTGACTCATAGCAGGCTTTCTATTTATTGAACTAGATTGTTAAATTACACCAGTCTATTAACCTTACTCATCTCTCTCATGGTTTAGTAGACTTTGATCATCACCCTCTCTCAACCTATCTCTCCAGAGTGAAAAAACAACTAGAAAGTCCCTCCAACCTTTTGATCAATTTAATTTGTTTTCTGGGGATTTGTATCAGCTGTTAAGTTTTTCTTGATGAGCAGCCACCAGAATTACCTATATGATTGTGAATGCAAATCCACTTTTGGTCTTTTATATGGAAAAGATAAGAGTTTTGTTTCATCATTGTTTTCAACACCCTTCCTGATAATGCCCACCATATTCTCGGCTTTGAGGACCAAAATCACAACTGGGCCAACTTCTTCATAGACAGATAAACAGTGATTTTTATTTTAATCTTTTTTACTCTAACAATAATATTGTGTATTGTCTAACTCAGAGACTGATGAGATGTATTTAGCTCCTGAGATCATCTCCAATGAGTATCCAGATAAACCTACAGATACTCAGCTACTCCAGCTGAAGGAGACAGGTATGATTCCAGAAGGTCCAAAGTGACCCTTTCATTTTTTATCATGAGCAACTGTGCCCCCACTGGAAGGCTTTTCTAATAAGTCCCTAGGAGAACTTTGCTGATCTCTCTGCTATGCATCCTGACTGCCCTAATTTCCTTCTGTATTCTGTTTTTAAAGTTTTTAAATTGAGGGATGACATACATACATCTTCAGTGACTTCTAGATCCCTTTCTTGAATCATAACTGAGCCCATCATCTCATAAGCATGAATAGGTTTGCATGACCTTATACAATGAAGTGCCTCTGACTATTCTGCCCACTTGGTCTCATGAGATCTTCCAGCAATTTATTCTCATCAGTTTGCCTTCACTCCTTGCAGATAAACTGGTGAGAAACCTGAATGTTCTGCTCATTGAAGGGTGTATATTTTTATCTTTTTTCCTCTCCGTCTAAGAGCTGCTGTAACAGCAGCTGTTTGTGTTGAAAACTAAAATATAAAAATATGACCTACGTGGCCAAATCCCACAGGCTGTTTACTTCCTTATTTATGAATCAGATTCTGTCAGCACAACTTAGAATCCTGACTGTCAGCAATACTGCAATTAAATGTCCTTGCAAAGCCAGCAGAGGGTGCACCAGGGCACTGTAAATTTTACCCAAGATGTAGCCATACTAATTTAATAGCCAATCAATGTTTCCTTTTTTTTTTTTCTTTTCTTGGTATACTAAAACTAACACCCTCAAGAAAACTTATGTTGAATCTGGGCTAAAATTCCTTCAAAGCATACTCTAATTCTCCTGAAAGTCAAGTTCAGGAAGAATAAGGAATACATGGTTAAATATAGTCTGGCCAAAATGTAGGTAGAGAAGAAGAAAATGATGCAGATCGGAGCCCTCTCCTTTGCAAAAATTCCATAGCTCTACCCAGCTACCAGACAAAAGGCTCCAGGAAGTAGTATATTATAGGGGAATGGGCACTGAACTCAGAGTAAAGAGACCAACTTCCATTCTAATTTTGATCAGAGTTGTATGACCTTGGACAAGTCACTTCCCCCATAGGAACTATGTGTTCTCCAAGGGGAATGATCAAATGGATTCATGGCCCCTCATAACTCTAAAAAACTCTGACTCCAATTGATGTCAGCAAATGCAAAAAGCCAGTGTGCTTGTTATTACTTCTCCAAAAGATTAAAACGGAAAAAATAAAGGACAGAAGATAAGGCGCTGTATTTAAACCTAGACAGAACTATTTGAAGCACCACGCAAAGGCAACTAAATGCCATTACAGACCCTATGAGAATCCCACACCATCACAGGAGCCCCAGAATACAACTGTTCTACTAATCCTCAGCCTACAAACAGGGGTCTGTCCATTCTGAATGCCAAAAGGCCTTGCCACCATTTGACTAAGGAAGTTCAATTCCTTCATCTTTTCACAGAAAACCAATGTTCGGCTGCTAAGTATTTCTACTGGGCATAGTCGCGGGGCAGGGGCGAGGGTTTGTTGTTGGGAGGTGGATAGATAAAGGGAACCAGAATCCTAGTTAATTATCATTTAGCTACTGTGTTTAAAGTTTCAAGTATGAGAAGCATGTCTACTGATTCTCTTCTTTGATAAGCTGTTATATAAGTTGAAGTGTGCTAGCAAAACATTTTAAGGCTCAGGACAACCTTTCAACGCAAAATGTAGAAACTGTGTCCGCCCTAATATTAAAGCATTATCATGACACCAACTTTGGATGGGTGGTCAAAGTAGCACGAATAATGTTTACAGAGTATGACAATGACTCTGGATGTGGTAATAAATATAGAAGGCCTGGGTCACTCACCTCAAGGAACTTATTTGTATAACTTGCCCTCTTCCCCAAGAGGAACAAATTGACTGTTATTCTTTAACCACCTCAAAAGGATCCTTGGCTGCTTCTCTTAAGTTTTACGTGAGACAAAATAATGGCAAACAAGAGAATACTTAGTTTTAGGGCACTAAATTTCCTTAAATAAAGAACTAGAAAAAGTAGAAAACAAACACCAAAGCTAACAGTTTGCTAACCAGGGCACAAACACCATAAAGATTGTATTAAAAAACAAAAGAAACAAACAAACCAAAACTAACAAACAAAAAAACTGGGAGACTATTCTTGAGTCATTATTCCATCAGTAGATTCCTGCTCACAAGCAAGCAGGAGTGAAGACACTTCACACCAACCCTCCCCACCCCACTCCCCAAAAAAGAGTCAGAACCGGCATGCAAAGGGTGAGTTTTATTCCAAAGATTTTTTAAATTACTGTTTCAAAAGTTGTCTAGCAAGACGGCATATTTCTACCAGAATTCCTCAGGGGCGCTGATCCTCACTAGAACACCGAGGACAATCCGTCTCAAATTGCAGGTAAGTGTGAACAAGCCCACGATCCGGTCAGTGCACCAGCACCCCGGCGCAGAAAACACGGTTCAAAGTTGTTTCAACGGGCGTGGAGCAGTTATTACAGCTGTTTACAGCTCCAACTCCAAAAGAGAGCCTGCTAGTGCTGGCATGAGCTCTGGACACGAAAAAACAAGCACCGCGGGCGCAGAATCTCACCGGGAGCAAAAGGGCCAGGCTGCTGCCGTTAGTCAGCCTGGGGGGCAGCGCCCGCACCTTCGCGCCGCGGCCCGGCCGGGAGCGCCGCCAACTTTTCCCGAGGCAGCCGGAGCTGGGGGCGGCGGGCGCCGGCCAGAGTTCCCAAGTCCGGAGGTCCTGAGAGAGTCAGGGTGAGCTGGGCCAGGGACCGAGGACAACCTGCCCCGGGGCGACCTCTCCCCAGCTTGTCCGCCCCCTCCCCGATCCCGCCGTCGAACTCGGCTCGAGGTGGCAAAGTCCTCCCCAGGCCCCCGCCCTGCGCACATGGGGAGGGGGCCCTGCCCCTCCAGAGTGACTCACCTGGTGCCCGTCCTGGGCGTCTGGGGGGAGCGTAGCTTCTCCCCGTTCCAGCAGCTGCTGCTGCGGGGATGGCTGCCCGAAGTGGCGGGTGATGGAACCGTCGGGGTCGAGTCCACCGGGGCTGCTCAGGGTGCCCGAGGTGCCGAGGTTACCGGGACCGCCAAGGCTGGACTCGGCTCCCCGCTCCCGCCGCAACTCGGAGCGCAACTCTAGGTAGCAGCACAACGTCAGCAGGTGGAGGGCCAGCGAGAGGCCAAAAAAACCCAGGAAGAGCCGGCAGCTGTTCCCTTCGCCAGCCCGGGCAGGGGCCCCGCGACAACCGCAGCCCTGGCTCCCGCGCTCCCTCGGCGCTGCCGCGGGCTGGAGTTCCCTGCGCTCCACCTCGGGGTAGCCCATGGCCTCCGGAGACACCCACTCTCTGAGGCCCGGGAGCCGCCGCGTCTGCCTCAGCCCTTCGCGACCCCTGACAGGCGGCTACTGTCCTGCCATCGGCTGGGGACTGCAGGGACCCGTTCCTGCGCGACGGAGGCTGGGCGGGACCGAGCAGGGAGCAGCCGCAAGTGCAGCTCCACTCCGAGGGGTGGAAAAGGGAGGAGGAGGGGCGGGAGAGACGGGCGGCTCGGCCCCGCGGAGGGAATGAGGGAGGAGGCCCCGGCCGACCCCGCCCCGTGCCTCAAGCGGCTGCCGGGACGCCCAACCACCGAGCCCGCCAAGCCTTGGCGCCCCGCCCCATGCCGTTCCACCCGGGGCCTCCAGCTGCGGGGCGGGGTCTGGGGGCGTGTGGGTTCGCCTCTGCCCCGTGGCCCCACCCAGCTCTTCTCTCTCACCCCGTTCCAGTTGGTGACTGTGGCTGTCGTTCATCCCTGGACTCCGCCCCAATTTAACCCTTGAGCGCCAGTATGGGGTCGGGGGCGGGGAAGGGGGGAAGAGGAAGGAAGGAGGGGGAGGCTGAGAAGAATTGGGGAACCTGGGAAGGAAAGTAGAGCAAAGAAAAGGAGGCGGAAACTAGTATTAATAGAAATGTTTGCAATTAACTGCAGTTGTTAATAACATCATCCAGTACTTATCTGTTGCTTTCAATCTTCAAAGCGTTTAACAGACGTTAAACTAATTAAAACAGTTTTGGGTTTGAAATGAAACCATGCCTGCTGGGTTTGCAATCCAATGGCGCGCCAAAAGAAAAGGAGACCCAGTAGCCTGAGAGCCAAAGGAAGTGAGAATGAGGTGGGACTGAGACAGTCCCACTCCTGGAGTGAGTCTGGGGCCTCAATCTAAGTGACATCTGTGCCAGGTGGAACTGAAGTGATGCTGCCTCACGCAGGATAAAACAGTCCCCTAGGATTTCTTGGTATATTAATTAATTCAAAGTATTGATCCCTTTACATGTAGAAATTGCTGTACGAGAGAATCTACAGCCAGTGTAGTTTTCTTCTTCCACCGCAGCAGGAGTTTTGAGTGGAGAACAAGTGCCTTCAATGAGCAAATGGGGAAACTGAGGGCCAGAATAAGGTGGATTTTTACATGGGTGGTCCACAGAATGGCCAGACAGTATCGGCATCTCTATTTGCAGGCAACTGTTCTAGTCTCTCCACCCCTCTCCTCCTCTCCCTGGAGTAGTCCCTGGGGGAAGTTCAACAACTCAGCCAAATGTTCCAGATGGACACTGCTGCAACTGCAGCATCTTCAACCCTCTGAAAAGGGTTCAGAGCAAAACAACAAACAAAAAATGTGGCAAATGTCAGAACAATAGACCCTGAAATGAACGATGGAAAGGATTAGTTGAGTCGAAATTAACAAGAGTTACTAGTCCGAGATTATAGAGAGCTAAATGACCATAGCAGGGGAAATATGTATGCTTCTTGGTCACTATGCACTCCCATTCCCATGTTATGAATAATTAGCAGTTTTATTGACTTGAAAAGGGTAGGCCTAAGACCTAGGCTGGTGAAAAAGGAGAAAAATAGGGGGAAATAGAAAAGAAGAGAAACAACAAAACAAAAACAAAGCATATGGTGGGGAGGTCAGTCCAAAGATTACAGAGGTCATAAACCTTAAATATATTAGCCACAGGCAATTTTTCTTTCAGACACTTTGGGAATGGCCTCAGTGCTTCAGAAACATCTTTGTGTCTCCTCATTAGCCCTTACGTATGAACTATAAAGTTTGCAAAGAATATCATCATCATGCAAATAAGAAAATAAAAAGGGGCACTTAGCTAATCTCAAATTCTGCTTATTCAGTCAAGGAATTCTAGATGCTGGCTGGAGGAACTGCCAGGCTGATTTAACTTAATTATCACAGCCCAGGATTATTAGAAAGAATGCTAGACTAGGAGTCAGTAGACCTGACCCTGCCACTGGTTTGCTGGGTCATTCTGAGAAAGTCACTGCTTTTGAGGACCTTAGTTTCTCCAACTGTAAAATGAGGAGTTTGAACTTAAACAGCTATAATATTGTGTTTTATCTGTGTTATCACTGACTATTTTGACTTGGTTGCATAAAGGGTTCAAAGAGGCTGCCTCTTCTTCCCCTAAAGTGAAAAGGGAATAAATAACAGCCACTCCTGGGAGTGGTGGTGGTGCTCAGGGGACTTACTAGTCTCAGCTTACCATGTTCTACCAGGCTTTTCACAGCTTGACTGAAGACCCTGGGTTGCACCATTGCCTTCAGAAGTCCTGCAAATTGCATTTGATCTGGGACCTCACTTTGGTTCCCAAGAGGAAGAACATATGGCTTAATATGAAGTAGAAACATTGGAATGGGGTAATCCAGTGAGGAATGTACATGGTTAGATGTTTTTTTTGTTGTTGTTGTTTTTTATAAATTTATTTATTTATTTTTGGCTGCGTTTGGGTCTTCGTTGCTGTGCACGGGCTTTCCTCCAGTTGCAGTGAGCAGGGGGCTACTCTTCGTTGCGGCGCGCAGTCCTATCGTGGTGGCTTCTAGGCACGCGGGATCAGTAGTTGTGGCGCGGGCTCTAGAGCACAGGTTTCAGCAGTTGTGGCACTCAGGCTTAGCTGTTCTGCAGCATGTGGGATCTTCCCGGACCAGGGCTTGAACCCGTGACCCCTGCATTGGCAGGCGGATTCCCAACCACTGCGCCACCGGGGAAGCCCTACATGGTTAGTTTTAAAAAGTATTTTGAAGTGTTAATTCAGTTCGCTTCTATGCTTCCATAAGTATCCCATCCTCTACAACACAGGTCTCAAAATGACAGCCTGCAGGTTACATCCAGCCAACAGATGTGTTGTGTTTGGTGCAGTGTTGGCTAAAATTTTGGATAAAAATAATAATTGCCAGGATCCAGAAATCAGGAGATTTCACCCAAAAAATCCCTATTTCTTTAAAGCATGCTAACACTGGATCCACATTCCCATATGGCTACAGTCAGCTAGAATTGCCCCCTTGAGACAAACATGAGCAATCAAGTTCCACAGTCATCCCCACCTTCTTCCTTTAGTCTCCATTACTGTCCTTGTTACCCATTTCCCTTATCTGTCTGGCCCCATGTACTCTAGGAGACAAGATATCAGCTCCTTAGCATGACCTATAAACTGCCCTTCCAACCTCACCTTCTGCCACCCTACAAGGAACCCATACTCCCACAATCCTAAAGTCACTGACACTTCTCACACTTATGTGTCTTTGCACAAGCTGGTTTCTTTGCCAGGAATGCCCCGACCTTGGAAAACTGATAAATTCTTCAAGAATCAAATCATGTGTTCCCGCAACTCCTTCCAAACAGATTTCCCTTTTTGCTTTCACTGCACCCTGAACATATCTCAATGATATCTCTGACCACATCGTATTTGTATTTATTTGCAGGCTTTCTTACCATTAACCTGTGAACAACGTGATAGTAAAAATCATGTCCTTTCCATTTTGGTAGTCCCAGTACAAAGCATAGCATCTACCACATAGTAGATAACAGTATTGTTTGTCAAATGAATGGGGCATGACATCTGCTATGGTAACCTGGACTGCCTAGAATTCCAAAAATGGTACTGAGCAAAAGGATGCCTGTCAGTACCACTTATGAAGCATGTACTGTGTGCAGAGCTGTATAACACACTATCGAAAGAAATAAAGGAAATAGAACCAGTTGTGCAATTATCCCCTTATTTGTGCCACTGTTGGAGTTGTGGATAATCCAGAAATTCAAATATAATTGGTTTGTAATACCTCACTGGCTTTCTGTCCCATCAAATTTCCCCTCCTAATTTTATTTGCCTGGTCCTAATATTAAAAAAAGTATTAGTTGACAATATATGAAGAATAAATGTTCAAAATAAGTTGACAGCCTCTGAACACCCACCAACTGGGCAGAAGATGCTAAGGAGTTGGGCAGGGACTGGTTTTTAAATACCTCTTAGCTCTGTTTAATCCACAGAACAAATCACTGACATAGAGATCACAGAGTTGACTCTCTGACCCACTTAGTGACAAGCAGATAGTTGGGAGGAACATGGGCTTAGGACTTAAGATCCTCACTTACCAGCTGTGTGACTTAGGACAAGTGATTTTTGCCCGTCTTAAAGAGCCTCAGTTTTCTCATCTGTAAAATGGAGATGACAACATATGTTTTGTGAGATAACTGTGCTGAAATGGTATGCTAGATGTCAAAATGTCTGGCACATAATAAATGCACAGTAAACGTTAGTCTCTGCTAAGAGACTTCCATCAAAAAGAGATGAGAGGAAAAACATGTAACAGTTCTCAAGAATACGGCAGAAATGCAGAAGAGCATCTACATACTTTGCCCTTGCCAAATGCCTGCCCCCATTTTGTATTCTTAAAGTTTGACATAGACCCCTATGGAAGTTCCCACCACCCTCTTACCAACTCTTGACTCCAACTTGTATCCAACTTCCTCCTCTCCGTTTCCACTTGATGTCTAGTAGACATCTTAAACTCAATATGACCAAAACCAAAGTTCTTCTCCAAACGTGTTTATCCCTTGGTCTTCTGTGTCTCAGCAAATGGCAACTTCATCTTCTCATTGCTCAAGACAAAATCTTTGAAGTCATCCTTGAATCCTCTCTTTTTCGAATACCCCACATCCAATCTGTCAGTGAATCCTGTCAGTTCTGCCTTTAAAATATACCCAGAACCTGACCACTTCTTACCACCACCTAGTGACCAGCCTAGTCCAAGCACCCATGCTCTCTCACTGGATTACTACTTTAGCCTCCTCCATGCTTTTTACTTTTGTCCTTGCCACTCTGCAGTCTATTCCCTACCCTACCCTAGTCAGAGGCTTTCTGTTAAAATGTCAAGTCAGATCCTATCACTCTGCCCCAAATCCTCCAATGGCTCCCTTTTTCTTTCAGAGTCTTTACCTTGGCCTACAAGGCCCTACATGATCTGATTGTTGGCCACCTCCTGGGCTCCTCTCCTACTACTATTCTCTTTGCCCTCTACTCCAGACACGTTGACCCCTTTGCTGTTCCTTGAACTTGAAAAGCATGCCCCCACTTAAGAGTCTTTTAACCTACACTTCCTTTTGCCTGGAATGCTATTCTCCCAGCTAACTGCATGGCTTCTCCCTCGCTTCTTCCGGGTCTCTTCTTAGATGTCACCTTATCAGAGAACCTTTCCCTGGCCAATTTCCCATCACTCTCTATCCCCTCCCT